TTTCCTGAAATGCCTCTGAAGATGATGGCTCTATTATTTTGAATGTGTAGGTCATGCGAGATCTGTGTATGCCACTGAAATTAGAACTAGTAATGATCCAAAATTAACTAGCTGCCTCCCTTTCAGCAGTGGCTGCCTGCTTTTAATACACAGAAAAAGATGCATGGTTTTGCAGAGTGAAATTTCAACAACTGTTCTCTCTTAATAAAGTATATAACGTGCCAGAAGCGGACTATTTAACTGATCTGTTTTAAATGCTTAGACTGGAAACACAGCATCATATCAGTATATTTAACTGTTCACATTTGGGGATTTAGTGAACTTTGTGTAAAGGAGGTCCCTTTGAGGTGTGTTTGGGATCCTGGTTGTCTGTAATGTGTTGTATTTGCTACTGGGAAAAAAATGTCTGGGTAAGATGATGCTTTCTCTCTTCTGTTTGATTTCTATGAAAAGTAGATTTTCCTAACCCAGTCAGGGATGATAACAGCCAAAATAGTAGTTTACAACTTAGCAGCACATAAATCTACTAAAAACTTTTGCTTTCTTCTCTTGCCCCATCATGAATTTTGGGCAGATGGGCACTAGCTGATGATTGGCAGGTTTGAGATCACAGCAGTGGGGTAAAGCAGGCGTGCTAGCGGAGTGATGTGGAGAATCGTGTACATCTTTTTCCCATCTTGTGCTTGGTTTGTATATTTACAGGAAGCTGTTGGAAAGGAGATGGGGAGGATAGTACAGGGTGCATAGTGTTGGGTGATTCTTCAGGACTTTGCTCTGAAAGTCTGTTTCAAATAATCAAACTAGTAAATGAACTTTCAAATAATGAGTTGCTCTTGTAAAGAGGCCTCTGAGGTCTTATCTTTTCTGTATTATGTCTTCTGGTTGGAGCTTAGGTATTACCTGTCCTCAGGGGTGGGAAGGGATCTGCTGGCACTTTGAATTGGGTGCGCTTGACTTAGAAGAAACAGACTCACTAAAAATCCCAATAGTATCTTGTTGCATTTTTTTAGCCATTTATGGGAATGGATTAAATTACCGTTGAAAAGGTGTTCCCCCCATCCCCACCCCACGTGGAAAGTTTATTTTGTAATGATGTTCTAACGTGCAGACTTGCAGACTCACCATGGGACAGCAAGTTAAATTAAAGATGTCGATGCACCATGAAACAGTAAAAAGTTTAGATTCCTGGAATATGTCATTAAGTGTGTTGCATTTTTAAAAAGGTAGCTGCTGTCAGGACTTTGTGGTAGGCTAAGAAAAAGAGCTTCTTGAAGGGATCAGCTGCAAGCATGATTTGTTGAAGTGTCCAGATTAAAAAGCACAGACTGCTTTCCTATTCTATTGCAATTTAAAACTATTTTCTTGCTTGGGACATTCCCATTTTAAAGGCAGGGGCTGCCAAAAGCGAAAATCCAGGAAAGTGGAGGAAGCAAGACTGATCTATCCTGCCCCAGCCCCCTTCTCCATGCCGTTGTGCATGGGATGGCTGTAAGGGAAGCGTGTTCATAGCAATGGTGCTGTGGGAGGCTCCTGCTGTGTGCAGCAAGCTGTGCATCACAGGGGATAGTGAGAGTAAGTGCCTAAGTGAAGAGACCTTTCTGGAGCCCAGAGTGTGATATAGAGTGAGTTGAGTATTTCCATGGAGAGCCAGATGGGATCTGGCAGGCCTTATGCTAAGCCAAAGCTAATAAATTTGCTTAGATTCATGGTGATTTGTGTGTAGCTGCTCACCTGTACCAGCACTTGTCTCTTTGGGCTTAACAGGTCAAGAACTGGCTTTGTGAGTTACTCAGGCTTTGAGTTAACTTGGAAATACCGTGGTGCCCCGGGTGTAAGTGTGCCCAGAAACAACGTTCACAGAATAACAGAATAGTTGAAGTTGGAAGGCAGCTCTGGAGATGATCTGGTCTGAGCAACCGTGCTTGAGCAGGGTCACCTAGTAGGTTGTCCAGGGCCACGTCCAGTCAGGTTTTGAACGTCCCCAAGGGTGGAGACTCCAGAGCCTCTCTGGGCAAGCTGTTCCAGTGTTGAACAACCCTCACAGTAAAGAAGCGTTTCCTTTATGTTCAGATGGGATGCCCTGTGTTTCAGTTCATGCCCATTACCTCCCGTCCTCGTTCCTGCTGTGCTAGCAAGTCCTACTGGACCTAAGCTTCAGCCCTGTGCTTGGGGCTTGGTGTGACTGCTAGCTGTGTGCTTATAGGTGTACAACTGAGAATGAGTTCTAGTAGAGTGTTTTGTACTTCCTCAAGTCGCAGTACTTACAGAAATTCTGATGGGGGTGAGTATCTGCCCCTCAGTATGTTAGCTGTTTTTGTAGGGACTAGTTGCACCATAGTGTTACCTGTTGTGCGATATGTTGCAACAGGCACAATTTGGAACATGGGAAATTCCGGTTAGATATAAGGAAAATCCATTTGCAAATACTGGAACAGGCTGCCCAGAGAGGTGTGAAATCTCTGTTGCTGGGTGTGCCCAAGACTCAGCAGGACGTGGCCTGAGCAATCTGATCTAATTGGACCTGCTTTGAGCAAGGGTAGGACTAGCTGACCTCTGGAGGTGCCTCCCCACCTAGATTATTCTAGGATATTTTCATCTTTGTTGCCCAAAGTCTCACCAAAATCAAAAGTATCTATCCCTTATAGAGGCACTGTATAGGTAGCTATAGGTCAGTACAGGTACAAATAGTGAACATCTAACTAAGAGGTCTGAGACATTTGACACTTAATACTACCACTATGGCATACTAAATCAACACAGCATTATCTGCTGCATTTTTTTTTAACCATTTAATGTCATAAAAGCCGAAATGGCAACAGGGAAGTGTATTGAGATGAAGAACATGATAAAGGGTGAATGAAACAACATTTCTCTTCTATAATATTTTAGCATTTCCTAAATCAGAACTGTCTCTGGCTTAATAAGTTTGGGCTCCTGTAAGCCAGCTTTACTTCTGCTGCAATAGCTAGACACAGCTTGAGAAGTATGAAGTGGAACTGCTGGAGAAAGTACAGCTGTTCAGAGAGAGGAAAATAAAAATGATTTTTCCCTTCAGAGAAGTCAGAAACGTTTAGTGGAAGTTTTGTTGGGTGGTAGAAGAAGAAACATCCCTGTTTCCCACTAACTGCATGTGAAACTATCACGTTTCAGTATGTTAGATCCTGACAGAGAGAGGATGGTATGAAGAATAGCAGCACCTCAAGTGCTATATAGCACCTTTTAGGGATCTTGGCTGGGACCTCCTTACCAGGTGTGACTGGTGAGCCACGGACAGTGGCGTCCATGTCTGGTTCCTCTGGTTTCATCTTCTGCTACCTGACCCTTGGACCTGAGAGCTCCTCTGTGGAATGATTAGGAGTGGGGATGCCCATGCAAGAGACTTTGGGGAGGAAAAGTAAAAAGCCTAAGGAAGAGAATAAAGAACATTGCACAAGGAGAGATGGCTGAAATAGAAGGAAGGTGAAGGAGTGATTGATGCTGAAGGCTATGAGAAAAGATAGGAAAGTGTGTTACAGAAAAGAAAAGGTAGTGACTACAAAAGGGAATGAGACCAATGAGAGTACGGCAGAGGCATGCTTAAAGCCTCCAGCAACCCGCCTACAGAAAGCAGAGTGTTTTAAATGTCATGTTATAATTAAATAGTGCATACAATAAAAAAGCACCTATTGTATTCCTTGCTGAGGAGCTGTTCTCACTCTGGCTGGTAGATCGAGTGTTTTGGCTACTAAAGGGAGTATATTTTTCTTTAATATATATATAACATATGTGTGTGTATGTATGTTACATGCAAACTTTTTTTTTTTAGTATCCTCTTCTGAAATACTTAGTTTAATGGGAAACAAAACCAGCTGGAATTAGCAGTGAACTGCTGCTGTCATTGTAGAGGCATATTCTGTTTTGACTTTGGATGGACACTGCTGAAAATGTTTAAATGACCTAAAAATATGCACATGTAGCATAAGAGAATACTATATGTGAACTGATACTTCTTCATGAGTCATTTCCTGTTGAAAGTGTTATGCAAAGCTAACTGCTAGAGGGGACGTGTGTGTGTGTGTGTGCGCGCGTGCGCGTGCGCGATTATTTATAAAATCAAATGCAAGCTATGTATTTCTTCAAGGTGTTTTTTTTTTTAATGTGGCTCGCTGGAATGGAGCAGAAATATGGCAATCAGTATTCTTCCTCTAAACAATGCTCAGATTTACATATTGGTTATAGAAAATGTTATATGAAAACTCCTCTGGAGTTGCAATCTGTGTACTTTCAGTTGTTCTTTGAAACTGATTGTAAAATAGGAAACATAGTCTCAAAAAATCCTTGAATGGTAGAACTATTTGCAGATCTGAATTGTGATTTAGAACTGAATCTTAACTGTTATTTAAAAACAAACAAACAAACCGTTAGATTTATAGATATCTCACAAAGACAGCTTGCATGCAGCCACTATATGTTGCTTGAGTTGGTAGTCCATCTTTTGATAATACTGGTATCTGAAGTCATTAACTAATTTTTAGTGTTATCAAAATTTTGCTGTTAATTGTTTTATTGCTAGCTTAATTTATTTTATCACCTAGACTGTGTAGCTTATGTAGTTTGAAATGACTCTGTTTATATTTCAACAGCAGCATCTTCAACTGTTTTCTGTTCCCAAAACTCCTTCATCTCTCTGGGTGTAGTCATATGCTTCCAAAGCAAAATCCTGCTGTAGGTTGAGAATCAGTCCTAGGATAGGAAACATATGATAAGTATCGTGTTAAAATAAGTGCAAGAACAGTTTAAGGTTCATGTTTTTAAATAGTGAAATATACTTACCCCAATTTGTTGGGAAACAAACTTCCACCTAAGAAATGGATTCTAATCAGAAACTTTAAAATGCTGGTACAGAGTCTGACTCAAACCTGAACTAGGAAACAGAGCTCAGTTTTCATCTTGACCAGTATTTTGTTGTTGACTTCTGTACTGTATCTGTAATGACAGACTTCTGACTTCCTTCTTTATAGGCTCAGATTATTCCTCAGTGGGATGGTTACCTGGTACTGAATCCCTGTGGCAGTCCACAAGCATTTCGTCAAGCAGTCAAAGCAATCCTGTCAGAAGACACAGTATAGCTTCCGACAGCGGGGACACTGGGATTGGTACCTCCTGTTCGGATAGTGTGGAAGGTGAGTTGATGCTGTTGAAGTCTGGATGTTTCTGAAAGAGAAACAATCCAAAATGTTTTAAAGGTGTGTTTCCTAGAATACTGGTACTTTTCTGAAGCTGTTGAGAGCATGCAGTTATAAGTTTTCCTCGTTGGATCAAGTCATTGCTTTGGTAAAGGTTAACTAATTTTCTTTCTCGTGGGTTATGTTCATTAACTTGCATCTCTGCCTCAAAGCTTGAGCTGGTGTTGTATCCTTTGATAATTACAGTTACAAGGGGTGCCAGATTTGTACAGAGGAGTAATGTCTCTTACTAGACCTCTTGATAAACAACTGGGGAAAAAGTAGGAAAACTTTAAGGGAGTTGGAGAAAGGACAAAGCTTTCTGGTGTTTATTGTATGTGTCGGCAAAGAAAGCTTATTCGAGGGACTGGGAGGAAAAAGGGGGGATGCTATCTTCTCATTTCTCAAATCACTTCTGCTGAGAAATATGTTTACCTTTTTTTGCATGGCATTTGGCAGATAGTCAAAGATCGTAATGTAAATAAACAGTATCTGAGGATTGCTAAAACTCAGTTTTGACTAAGTCATGATTGCTTGAAGTTGTTCTTGTCAGGGAGGGGTTTAGCCTCTGTGGTAGCAGTGTCTCCAGAACATTGCCATCCTCCCTGTAGGTAGTGGTGGTAATAATTAAGTCTGAATAAGAAGGAGACTAGGCAATAATAAGGCACCAAATTGTCTTCCTTTCCTAACCTCACTTCCTGGTAAGATTTTCAAGAGTAAGGTAATGAAAGCGGGACTGTAGTAGGCTTTTCTCCAAGGTGTACTTGGTAATTTTTGCAAAAAGAATCCTGGGTAGCTGCAATTGAAGAACAGAGATTCACGAAAGTAGATTAAGGGACCCTGAATCCATGTAAGAGACAGAAGCATCTACAGGAAGCCTGAGCATTCCTGAAGATAGGTCTGAATCCATCAGAGTTAAGTCTGTTAGACTCCTTTGCGCATAAGGGTATCTTTTTTGCCTCATTCGTCTTGGATCTGGCATTTGGAAAGGAACTGTGGAGGAGAGTCCGCACAGCTTTCTTTTGGCTTGCTTTCATTTTTTAAACCTTTATTAACTCTGGCAAAATAAAGGCTTTACTCAAATTCTTTGGTGTAAAACTGAAATGTTAAATTGTCATTCAACAGGGAAGCGTTATTTTTATTTTTTTTAACAAGCTGACTCACCCAGGTGTTGTAGAATAGTGTTTTAAGATGCAGCATTTGAATAAAAACAAGTGTATGGGGTGTTCCCCCCCCCCCCCCCCCCACACCCCACACCCTCCTATGAAATAGTACCTCTTCATCAGATGTTACCAAGACTGAAGAGGAGAACAGAGCAACTGTTGTTAATGGCAGAGGGACATGGGACACTGATACAGTAACTCAGAACAAGTTCCTTAATCAGAGGTTACCAGTTAACTAATATCTCTGTCTGTTTGCATGCTTTTAATAGTGTTCTTACAAGCAGCTTTTAAAGTTCCTTACCAGAAAATAAAAAAAGAGAAAAAAATTGCTACATCTTTTACATTGTTTGTGCATCTGGGAATACTTTGACTGTAAGCAATGTTACTGTATCCATAATCTCATCAGGTTCCCGCTGCCATGTTTGAACAATTTACAATAGTAGAAAAGAAAACATCAAAGAAAAAAAGGAGGGAAACAAATGTAAAAAGCAAGCTAATGGAAGGAGTAAATGATCTGTTTGGAAATTGAATGTACGTGCATTTTTAGTACACAATACAGTTGCCTAAGATACCTAGTTGTCTGCATCTCTCAAACCTCCCCCCCCCCAAAAAAAAAAAAAAAAGGGGAGGGGAAGAAATATCTTTGTGATTTCTGTGGGATTGCCAGGCCAGACTTGCAATTGCAGACTTGATGTTGGCCATCTGCTCTCAGCGTGGTGCTTGGAAAGGAGCCTTTGGGGATTTTGCAGAGAGGAATTTTTTTCACAAGTCAGCAGATCATTATAATTTTTAGCAATGCTCAGAGAACACAATGTGGCCTTGCTGTTTCCTTTCTACTGAGCTTACTGAAAATCAAAAGCTGAATTTCAGAGTTGACATTAACCTCTTTTAACTTTGTAAATTGCAGCTTAGTTCAGTTGTGCAGATGTGTAGTTACTAGTAAATACACTGATGCAGGGAGTAGAGCTCAAATACCTTTTGAATCTGTTTGCACTGATTTTTTTCCTTGTATGTTAAACATTCCTTTAAATTAATCTGCTAAATCATACTTTATTTCAGGAGCATTCCTTCTGTGAAATTACAGTAGTGCCAGGTGGCTTGTGTGTTGGGCTAAAACCTCTGTGGTTTGGAGGGGAAATGGGTTTTAACAAAACCAGTAGGAGGAATCGTCTGCATTAAAATGTATGTCACTGGCCGTCTGAATGTTTTGTGCGAAGGTAGGAAAACTAGGAAATGAAATGACTAGTTGTGTTTCATTGTTGAGGTTGAGCAATGTTGATGTGAGCTGGGGGATGGGAGGTACAGCTGAGGAGGGATGTTTAGAAAGCATAGATGTTGGAATGTTAATTTGGGTAGAATAGATCTTAAACTCCTAGTTCAGTGTGTTCTTAAATTAAGAATTCATGTGAAAAAGCATTTTTATCTCTATATAAAGTACTGTTAATGTTTTTTATTTTGTTCCTGTCAGTAAGTGGTTTAGATACAGATCAGCTTCTGAGGAAGATAAAAATAATTACTGCGTTCTACAAGGAGCAGGAAGAAAAGGTTTGGATGTGGTCTTTTCCAGGTTTTTTTCTTTTTAAACTTCCCTCTACTTGGAAGTCAACTTTAATATTACTGTTTTCACACAAGTCTGACTGAGTAGTTAAATCTTGGGCAGTGATTGCAGTGAGTCTTTAGAAAAATCGCATATACTCATTAAAAAGATAGGGGAAATGAAATGTAGAACCTTATGAAACTTGAAACTCCTGCACTTCTGGCGTAGGAGTGTTCAAGAAGAATCACGTGAAAGAAAAGGTTTCAGCTAGTGGCCAACAGTCGATCAACTATCAGTGAAGACTATTTGAAGCGTCTTATTTCTGTTTCCCTTCTGTCTGGCAGCTTTGAAATCGGCAGATACAAAATTTATAGCCTGTGCTTAATAGGGACAAAAGATAACTCCCAACGTCAAACAGCTGATGGCTACGCTATGTGTAGTTCTTTGGATATAGGCTCTCTCCTGAACTGCAGGCATGGCCAGAAGATTATCCTTACTTTTTCAGAACTGAAGCTAAGAGAGGAAACAAGGTTAATAAGGGGTGGGTGCCAGAAGAAAATCCCTCTCTTTGGTGGAGAAAGTGGAGGTCTGAAAACATTGTCAGCTACAGGATCTTGTGTCTTATCTTTGTGCAACTTGTAATTTTTTCAAATGGAAGCAGATTTGAGAAAGAGTTGTAAAACAAGTATTTGAAATTCTTTTGATGTAGGAAACTTGATGGTAAACTTGTGAATTATGGCTTTTCTACTTTTCTGATTGCTTAAAATGCATGTTCCCGATTAAAGTGCTTCTGCTACCCTTTCAAATGTGTGTTTGGAAAAAAAAAAAGTGTGATACTGTACAGAAACTTAGAACACTTTCATGAAACACAGCCATGTTTGTTATGCTCTAGCAGCAGTAATAACACTCGTACTTTGTTTTCAGTAATCATTGTACACCTGTGCCAGCCACCTATCCGAACAGTCTGCAGATAACCATTCTTCGATACCATTTATGTAAGAAGGTTGAAGTCTGTAATTTTGAACAGTTTTCAGACCTTTTTTTATTTCAGGCACTTAATCTGTGAATCAGAGCCTCATTAGAATTTAAATGGACTGTAAACTTCAACAAAGGTCCTTCCCAGAACCAGTGTTTGATTTTGGCCTTTTGGAGAGGAGGGATATGAACTAGGATTTGATATGGCAAGATACAGGGTCCAGGGCTGTTGCAGGCCAAAACATTCTTCTCTGGCAGATGAACTTGCTGTGCAGTAGAAAGATCCTTATAAACTGGATCGTCTGTTGTCATTAGTAAACGTGGTTCTTGGCCTGCCATTTGTGGTTGCAAGTGAAAAGGCATGAAAATTTGTGCTTTTCTGGAAGAGAAAAAGATCTGATGCAGAAGGCAGAGCTGTCGCTTTTTTTATTGGGGATTTAGTGTTCTACTAGTTTATTTTAACTTAATTAAATAAGCCTGGTAGAAACACTGATTGAAGATGGTTGAGTGGGTATGCCCGTTTTCCTATAGAAATCTGAATAAATGTGATCTGTTCACAATTTAAGACGTTGTTCTGTAGCTCGATAAAGAGGTTGCCTTTGGGAGAGTAATTTCACAAGTGGTGGTTTAGGGAGTATGGGCTTGATGCAGCGTTCTTGAGGTGTTGTTGTTACATTTTGCATAGATGTGACTTCTCTGGAATATTTAAATGATAGCATAGGAAATCGTTTTAATGTTACGAGACCCAGAGGAGTCTCTTGTCTCTCATTTTGAGCTGAATTTGCTACCTTTTAAACTTATTAAAAAAATCCAATTAGTTCAGTTTAATTGCAGTGTTTCTTGATACACTAGGGAACATGGTGCAGCCAGCTCTGAAGTTACTCTGTTTTGCTATTTCAAGCCTTCCTCCTCCAGCAGCTCCTCAGCGTAGTATTCTTAAAATCTTTTTTTTTTCCCTAGCTGAAGTAAAAAATCAAAAGTTAATAAATATAGCTATTTGAACATAACTTAGTCAAAGATAGAGCTGAATTTCTGCAGGCAAAATGTAGTTATGAATAACTTGGAGGTGTTACTGTGTTGTTTTGTTCAGTATTCTGCTAAAGATAGTGGGAGTGAGAATGTACACAGGTCAAATATTACTGATTTTTCACTGTCCGTTTTGATGCGAGTCAGGAAGGTACAATAGCACAGGATACTGGATTTTGAGAGCTGGCAAGTGTCTGTTCTGCTCACTGTGTTCTGTGTTTGATAATTTTGGAATGTGATGCATTTTCAGAAAAATC